TGGTGCTGTTATTATATCTATCGGTGCGGGCTCTTGTGGGCTGAATTTTGTTGTAGTGGCAAGGTGACCGGGGGACTGCTGGTGGCAAGAGGTGGCGATGACGAGGATGGTGCAGTAGTCAACTGCCAAACCTTGCTATTGCTTGGTGGTGGAGGTCACTGAGGGATGGCATTTCCAGGGTGGAGAGAGCGTTGGTGTAGCCGGAGTAGTCTGCGCCGAGCATGATTCTGCAGGCCCTCTTCTGTACCTTCTCTAGCCGACGTTGTTGGGTGGAGTTGAGAGAAGACGACCAGGCTGGTGACGCATACGTTAGTTTGGGGAGAATAAAGGCGTTGTAGATAGTCCTCAGCTCTGGCGTGGGTGTCCCAAGTGACCTGAGTCGTCGTAGCATGTAGAGTTGGTACGAGGCTGCCTTGATTGTGTTGCATACATGGGCCTTCCAGTCCAGTTTGTGGTCTATGGTAACACCCAGGAGTTTGGCAGACTGCACTGACTGGAGAGGATGGGCACCCACTGTGACTGCTGGAGCTTGCACTGGAGTGGTGGCGGTATTGGTGTGTGTGTGTGTGTGTGTGTGTGTGTGTGTGTGTGTGTGTGTGTGTGTGTGTGTGTGTGTTGTTTTGACATTATTGTGTGTGTTGTGTGTGTGTGTGTGTGTGTGTGTGTGTGTGAATATTATACCCAAAACTTTACTCGACTAAAATTATTCATTAATTTGTTATAGTTTAATAATTATTTTGGGTCGATGTTGTGGAAGTTTATTTTAACTATAATTACGTAATAAATTCATTATACAATTATATTTACCTGAGTAATTATCATTATACGAGGTGATCAAAAGTCCTGTGCACCTATAATTATAGATAGTATGGTTATTTACCTTGCTCTACTTATAACAGGTGCATAGAGACTTTTCGATCACTATTATTTCCACTCCGGTATTTTCACTTAATTAAATTGTTTTGCCCTTTAGGTCTGCTGTTCTGTTGATAATTTGTAAATAATTAAAATTACTGAGAACAAGAGTACAATTAATATCAAGGTGACGAAACCGGACTGGGGGCACTTTTGATATTTCATGTGGGGTCAGTCTGTCTGTCTGTCTGTCTGTCTGTCTGTCTGTCTGTCTGTGTCTGTCAGTCAGTCTGTCTGTCAGTCTGTCTGTCTGTCTGTCTGTCTGTCTGTCTCTCTCTCCTTCCACATCGTCATTTAATCTAACATTTTCTCTCATTCCCCTTCCTATCCCATCATCCTTTCTTCCTGTTCTTCCTCCATTTACTCCTCTCATCTCTCTCTCTCTCTATCATCCCCCTTCCTTTCTTGCTACCAGCCTCACCTTCCCCCACCTTCCCTCACCTTCCCTCACCCTCCCCGCCTTCCCTCACCTCCCCTCATGGCCCTTCCTTCACCTCCCTCATCCTTCCTCATCCTTCCCTCATCGTCCCTCATCCTTCCCTCCCCTGCACCATCCAGCCTTCCCTCACCTTCCCTCACCCTCCCCCACCTTCCCTCCTTCCCTCACCTTCCCCCACCCCTCACCTTCCCCACCTTCCCTCACCTTCCCTCTTCCCTTCCCACCTCACCTTCCCTCACCATCCCCACCTTCCCTCCACCTTCCCTCACCATCCCCACCTTCCCCACATCTTCCCATACCCAGCCCTCACCCCTTCCCCCACCATCCCCTCACCTTCCCTCACCTCCCTCACCATCCCCACCTTCCCTCACCTCCCCCACCATCCCCCCACCTTCCCTCCACCTTCCCCCCCATCCCCACCTTCCCTCACCTTCCCTCCACCTTCCCCCACCTTCCCCTTCCCCCACCAACCCCCCACCTTCCCTCCACCCCACCATCCCCACCTTCCCCCACCTTCCCTCACCTTCCCTCCCCACCTTCCCCCACCTTCCCCCCCACCTTCCTCACCCTCCCCCACCATCCCCACCTTCCCCACCTTCCCCTCCATCCCCACCTTCCCCACCTTCCCCACCTTCCCCCTCCCCTTCCCCCACCTCCCCCACCTTCCCCCACCTTCCCCCCACCCCCCACCTTCCCTCACCTTCCCTCACCTTCCCCCACCTTCCCTCTCCCCCCCTCCACCTTCCCTCACCTTCCCCTCCTTCCCTCATCCTCATCTTAGTATCTCTCCTCACTGTTCTTTATCACCCTCTATCCTTCACTCTAGGTGTTCTCTCATCCCACCTAACTACAGGAGGAGGACGATACCCATGGGAGGTATTTTGTTAATTATCCTCTTGAGCAAACAATCAATTAGCGTTAGTTAATAGGGTAGTAATTAGCTTTAAAGGGGGTGGGGGGGCTCCCTGGATTTTAGCCTTATCTGCCCTGTATCTAATATGGTCGTAACTCGCGTCTAGTGATTCCCCTGTAGTAATGACCATTCCAGATACCCAGCCAATCTCACCACCCAGTCCACCCACCCGCAGCCAGTAGCCCACCACAGCCACCCAGCCAGTAGCAGCCAATGCTTAATACCCAGCCGCA